ATCTATATATATATATATATATATATATATATATATATACACCCAGTAACACAGATTTACACAAATTAGTAAACAATATTTGAGAGACAAAAGCCTATTGTGTACATAGAAAAAGTCTTAGATCTACAAGTTCAGCTCATGAGAAATGTGAGCAAAAACAAAAGTACTGTGTTTATATTTTTTCATTGTTTATGATGGGCTATATCTTTGAATGGAGATGGATCTTGATCCGTTTGGTTCATAGAGTTGGTCAAAAGAGCTGTTGAATTTTCAAAAGTAGTGACATCGTAATGTACACCGTACATCATTAGGTCGGTCATGTACATTTAACCAGTCATCAAATAGCAGCGTGCTTAAACCCATTTCAAAAATTACACCTAACTTGTGTGATTTGCACCAGCGTGTTTGACTTTTTTTTTCATGCAAATGTCGGCATCAGTTCTCTAAATTGTTATATTGTGACAGGGCCTTTACATGCTTTCATGTGTAAAGAGGAGCAGTGGTCACCTGTCAGTAACATATTTCTTGTGTACGTCAATGTACATGTGCCAAACATCTGTACTGTGATGGTTCAGTACAAATGCATGCACCATTATACCCCTACTGGTAAACATGCCAGTTAAACTTTTTTTTGTCTTTGTTATCTGGGATCATTCCTCAAATTGCTCTGTCTGTATACAGTACAATATTATACATATTTTTCTTCTCTTCCTGCCACATGCATTATTTGCTAAAGAGACATTTGTCTTTTTATATCCTCCTGTAGATTTGATAACCCAGCAGCAGTCAGTTCTTCTCCCACAAGACAAATGACTTTCAACTACTTGCTTCCGGTGAATGCATGGCTTCTGCTGAATCCATCTGAACTCTGCTGCGACTGGACCATGGGTACCATTCCTCTGGTGGAGTCGCTTCTGGATCTTCGTAACCTAGCCACAGTGACATTCTACACATTTCTGGGACTGCTTGCCCACCACAGCCTGTGCTACAGACACAGCTCTGCTAAGACTGTGATTATGGTGAGGCAAACATTTTTAAATTTAATTTCTTCCCTTTAAATTAGTTCTGTAATGTGTTTCATAAATTCTCCTTCATAAAGATACCAATCAGGTAAAAAAGCAATGTATTTTAGGAAAGTAATGTGTATTGCCTTCATGAAATTTGAATCACAATTTTAAAAATAATGGAACTCAACTTCTTTTCTGTAGCTGAAGATGTTTTGCTTCTGTTTGGGGAGCTTTTTATTCTTAAACTGGAGGGTGGAGTGCAAAAATCTGACTCAAGAGTATCAGAAGACTTTGGTTTTGTAATTCACTCAAGATAGACGTGAATATTTTTAATCCAGTTTTTGCTTTTAAATTCACTGTGAGGAAACTTTGATTCACTGCTTGATTTATTTAAAATAATCAAATTTCTAACACAACTTACTATGGGTTACAAATAATTTCATCACCCCTGGCCCCTCACACCCCAAAACCAGTTGGACATACCCATAAAACCTCCCTGGGGAAGTGTCATGGGGGCATCTTTACCAGATGCCTGAACCACCTCAACTGGCTCCTCTCACTGTGGAGGTGCAACAGCTCTATTTCAAGTTTCTCATGGATAACTGAATCTCTCACCCTTTCTCTAAGGAAGATTCCAGCTACCCTGCAGAGAAAACTAATTTCAACTGCTTGTTTCCACATATTTGTTCTTTTGGTCACTTCCCAAACTTTTTGACCAAAGGTGAGGGTAGGAGCATAGGCCGACTAGTAAACAGAGCTTTGCCTTGCATTTCATCTTCTTCTTCACCACTACAGACTGGCACAGAGTCCACAATACTGTGGAAGCCACACTGATTTGTCTGTTGATCTTCCTCTCCATTCTTCTCTCACTTGGACTGGACTATGCTACGACTTTCACTTAAAAATTCAATGTCTTCATCGGCTTACGTATATGTACATGTATAACGTCTATTTATATTACTTTGCTGTGGTAGGTTTTTTGATGCCTCAAATCGTGCCCTGTCTAGGACACGGCGTGAGAGATCTTTTTTTTAATACCGTCTCCCCTCATGTTTTCTTCCCTTTTCTCATCTAAGCAAAATATTATTCTGAATAAGATTAAGAGAGCTGTGCTTTTTATAGTTGCAACTTTGTGCACTTCGCCCATCTTTCAGACAACTGTACGTACATGTTCTCGTTGTATCTCGGTGCAATGATAATAAAGATTATTCTGATTCTGATATCGGTCGGGCTCTAGTTAAAAGACATGTCCTGATCCAAAATAACACCAAGTTTTTTACATTAGAACTGGAAGCCAAATTTATGCCATCTTGTAGAAGTGAAAGGCTGCAAAGTTTATTCCTAAGATGCCCAGGTCAAAAGAACACAACCCCTGTCTTGTCTGAGTTTAAATTGCAGAAAATTAAGGGTCATCCAGGTTTTTATGTCTTTAAGACATTATTGTAATCTATGTAACTGATTGGATTCATTGGGTTTCATGGGTAAATGTAACTGAGCACCATCAGTATAACCATGAACATTTATCCCATGCTGTTTAATAACTTCACCTAATGGAAGCGTATATAAAGTAAATTCAATTCAGTTTATTTATATAGCATCAATTCACAACAAAGTTGTCTCAGGGCACTTTACAGAAACATTCACATACATAGAAAAGCCATTTATTAAAGTTCTCTATTTAAGGAAGACAGCAGACTTGTTGAATCTTCACTTCGTCACAGTCTCCCATCATGAGCAAGCACAATGGCAACAGTGGAAAGAAAAAACTCTCTTTTAAAAGGAAGAAACCTCCAGCAGAACCAGGCTCAGGACGAGCGGCCATCTGCTTTGATAGGCTGGGTTTGAGAGGACAGGGAGGAGAGACAAACGAACACAGGATGGCAGGTTCAGATGTAGGTGCAGGTGTACCTGAAAGAAATGTAGATGAACAGATGCTCAGATATATTCATCAATTAACACGGATTCCTCATTTTTCTGGACTGAATAAAACGTGCATTGAATTTAATGAAATGCAAACGTGAGACGTCATTTATCTTTGACCCATCAAAATGAATGCGGTCATTTATTTACAGAATCAAAGTTTAACATCAAACATTTACATTAATTTGGCAAATTATGAAAATAACAACATAAGCAATCAGTCAGGAAAAATCATACGGCCATGATTTTTCCGTTGCTTCACCACAGACATTTATGAAAACTGTACAGTTATGATCTTTTACCCACACGGCGGTGGATGAGCACTTTACACAGACATTTCTAAATATCTGGAAGAATTTCTACTTGAGAGAGGAGTTTAAAGATGGGAAAGAAGTTTAAAGAAGAGTAAAAAATGGGGTTTGAGGGAGTGTTGAACAGAACGGCACTCTCCGGGCTTTCTTCAGCTTCTTCCTTACAGTACACTTAGGTGGTGAAATCGACTCTTTTACCTGGAGATGTCTCAGGCGAGATTCCGTTTAACGCACCCTTTCAGCGTCTCCGTAGGATGCTGTTACTCGTCCGGAGTAGCGGCGAGATTCTGTCCGCCACAGCTCACCTCAGTGAAGATGTTATAATCCCATGAAACTCGGAAGAGCTCTGTTGTCATGTCAGGATCTTCCCGGCTCACAGAACTGAACAGAGACCCAACTCCCACAGAACTGAACTCTCACGGCCCTCACAGAACAGACAGAACTGAGTAGACCAGGAAGTACCGACATTTTAAAGAGCTCTTTTCCCGGTTCATTCGGGAGTCTCCCCATTGGCCAGAACCGACCAGACGGGGTGTGTCTTGTGACGTAAAAGGTTAGAAGGCAGCAAGAATTGTTATGGAACAGATCAGAAATGTTCTCACAGACAGAGAGAGTTTTGTTTTGGCGAGTTTAAGAAACAGGTGCCAAAACCCCCCTGTTGACGTCTGAGAGGATATAAACAGGACAGTTGTTCCACCGCATGTCTGCTTCGATTCCTGACCCTGGAAACGTACACTTGCTCATTTGAAGACAGAAGTCAGAAAATGCATAAAAATCTGTAACAGACCTTAACATGAATTCTAACTCTGCATGAGAATTAAAAATCATTACACAGTTAATAAAATTGATTAGTTCACTGCAACATCTAAAATGGTTTGAACTAAGACACCTTGATTATCAACATTTGTAAAATAGTAATGATAATAAAAAGAGAGTGTTCTTTCACTTGAATTTTCAAGAAAGAAAGTCTCAGGATGGGTGAACCTGTATTTCTGGATTCAAATCAACGAAATGACAGTTCCTGTCCCACAAGGTTCTTAAGGTCAAGAGTTTTGACCTTAGGCTTAGTCTTGACCTCAGATTAAGTTCACTACAACAAAAACACAAGTAAAGATTATTCGTCCAAGCACTGAACCCTGGGGAACTCTGGCTAAATTTAGTGTAAGAAAATTCATTATTTGAATTTACAAACTGGAATCTATTAAATAAATGTGATTTAAACAATTTTAGAGCCATTCCTGTAATCCCAATATCATATTCAAGCCTCTGTAGTAGAATATTGTGATCAACTCTCAAATGCAGCGCTGAATTCTAACAGGACCAGAAGGGGGAGAATCAGACTGTCAGAAGACTTTTGTCCTGTGCTCAGCAGTCCAATTTCTGTATGTTTTGCTCAGTATCTGTATCTGATATTTTTCTTGTAGTAAAGAGGTTGTTGGGAAGTTGCAATGCATGGTGGTGGCAGTGATATGCTGTGGGAATATTTTTAACCATTGTGGACTGGGAAACCATTCAGAGTTGAATAAAATATTACATTTTAAGGTTATGACTGAGGTTCACGTTCCCACAGGACAATGACCCTAAACAGGCTGCTGACGCAACAATTCAGTAGATAGAGGAAAATTAGCTAAATGCCCTGGAATCATCCAGTCAAAGCTCAGACCTCTGGTCCAGAATCTCTTGTTTGATTTTTTTTTAAAGAATTGTACAAAAGCATAACACATCCAGATCCAGCTGAAGCAGTTTTGCAATGCAAACTAGTCAAAAATTCCAGTGGTTAGTTTTGCCAAGCTTGTAGACTCATACCTGAAGCAAACTGCTGCTGTAAATGCTGCAAAAGGTGCTTTTACAAAGTATTGACATTGGGGTAGTAACTAGATGCTCAGATTTTTCCCTGTTTGTTTCGCATGACAGTATTTTGTGTCTTCAAAGTGGTAGCTATGTTTTGTAAATTAAAAGACACAAAACCTCAAAATGCTTTTTTAAATTTGAGAAAACGAGAGAAACTCAAATGGAATGAATATTTTTGAAACCTCTGCAAATCTGGCATCTTATTATGGCAGTTGTAATTATAGTAAAAAAAATATGTTGAAGCCCTTATGAACAGTCACATATATAAAAAATGAACGACAGCTTCAGGTTAATTCACTTAGACAAACATCTGAGTAAATCAAGTCGAACTGAGTGTTTGAAAATTAAGTTGAAAAAAAATGTTTGTGCGGCATGGCAGACAAGTGAGTTTGTTGAACTGTAACATAAAATAAACCGTGATTTAGTTGTTCAAAAGTGAAATGTGAAATTTCCTACATTTACATTGTTCACTGTCTCTATGTGATACAAATCAGTTTGGTTTCTTCATGTATAAGTTCTGTGGTACTTGAAAATGGTTTGTCCTTTTCTTCTCTCCACTACTGACAAGAATCTGTTTACTTTGAGCTCCTCAGACTGGGCTGAATGTTCTTTTAGGATGCCAACAGTTTAGATATAAAAGACCCCCTGTTGTGTTTTACACAACAAAATGTTTGAGGGTAAAAAATCTAGCATTTCTAAATACATCAGTAAAAATGGCTTCTTAAGTCCAAATGGCACATCCAGTGCTTAACACGCAGAAATTAATTTGTTTTTTTAGTAAATCAAATATTGGTGTCATTTTTGCACTGTATTGACTCTGGGTCTGGCGTGAGCAAGGAAACGTACAACTGGAAGATGGCAAGATCAAATACATTCATTTTGAAACAACAAGAAGCGGTGAGTGATCTATGCGGAACAGAGGAAGTTTGA